TGTATCACTTCCGGTTCGCATAAGGAGAGACTGATGTTTTTGACGAGTGCAATGTCAAGCACATCCGATGTGTGTCCCTCTACGTACGGAAAGCGCGTATGTTCGACGGGGGCAGCGACTTCAAAGTCGAGCCTGTCGGATAGCGAGTCGAGTGCGGTGCCTCGACTGTTGGTACGTGTCGAGTTCTATCGGGTGTGCTTGCTGTTGAAGTCGCCAGCTAGGATGGTGACTCCTCCTATAGAGAAGAGGGCCTCAAAATCTGATTGCAATGTTAATGCGGTTGGTCTACAAGGGAGGTAAACTGATGCTATGGTGATAGGAGAGTGGCCGGTTAAAGCCAGCTGACAGACGGAGGCCTCGAGATGCGTGAGCGCGGGCGTGTCTACCGGTACGCAATGGAGAGATTTTTTATAGTAAATAAGTGTGCCGCCGCCCGGGGCGCCGACACGATCGTTCCTAACTATTCGATAATTGGGGATGTTCGGATCCCTTGTCGCGGGTTTCAGGAGCGTCTCCTGAATAAGAAGTATATCGATTTGGTGGTCGCGTAAGAAAATACGTATTTCGTCGCGCTGTTCTTTTAACCCGTTCGCGTTGTAGAAGGCTACGTTAATCGATCGCGGTTTAGCTCTGCCGTTATTACGCGTAGCAGAGGGACTGACATTCGCGGCGGTATTACTATTAGTTGTAGTAGCCATTGAGGGGCCTAAGAGGAGAGCGCACACACGATGTGCGGATACCTACACACGAGTTCAATCCTAGTATGTAGGTCTGCTTTTGCGTATTGTTCCGCAAAAGTCATGAATTCCGTCATATTGACGGTACGGGCGAGCCTTGTGAGTGACTCGAAGGGGTTACCTCCGGCTGCAGGGCTGGGCGGGACGAATGTTGGTTGCGCGGTGGGTTGTGGAAACATTGCTTCTGCAATGCGCGGGTTTGGTTTGGCCCATGCGGGGGCCATAGGGTTCTGCCACGCGGGGCGCAATGGAGGAAAAGAGGCGGCCGTAGGAACCGGCGGCCTTCTAACTGCCTGAGTGGCAGGCTTAAACGGTTTGCGCTTTGGCGCTTTGGGGCAACCTAGGTAGTTGGCCGTGTGTCCTTCCGACTGGCCGAAATTGCTGAGGAGTGCTTTGTCCCTTGGTCTAGGACAATCGGGAGTGTGAAAAAGGAAAGTAAAGTAACAGCCTATATATGTACCGCTGCTGGGTATAGCTTCGTTTGTACATACTCCACCACGCGACCCCAGTGCGGATTGGAAGATTTGACATATTTTCGATTTCTTTCGTATTCTTTCGAAAATATGCATGTCTCCTCAAGATATTTTCCATCACCGCTGAGCACGTGATAATTCAGCACTAAAAACTGTAACTAACAATTTGATTGAGGCACCGGAATTCTCTCAGTTTTCTCGAGTATAGTATTCTCGAGAATTAAAAAGAGCGCCCGGACACTGAGCTACCTTATCGTATAATCCTTAATAGTTATCCTTAATAACGGTTTTTATTGTAATCGATTTACCAGAAAATTCTTTTAAATATTTACGTCCGAGCCGTTTAAATCGCGTTAATTATTTCAAGGCATGTTTAGTTTCTTAACATGTTTTCACTTCCAAAAAACAGTAAAAGAAATTGCCCGCTGAGTTTCTTTCGCCAGTTCTTTTAATAATTTGGTCTTACTTTTCCGAACCGGTAGAAGTATATTGAATATTGACTTGCAATATACTACTACCGGTTTGGAGTGGGTGTAATGCTGTATATAATGTTGAATAAAGATATTTGAATTTGAGTTAGGATTTAAGAAAGGAAGCATCGTCGTCGTGTTATTCAACAATACAACACAAATTTTAGCATGATTTTCCTGAAGCTAATATCAGATATGCGAGAATTTCCGTATTTGTCCGCTAGGTCAAGTGTATCAAAGCCCTCGTGCCATCTCCAATTCGTCATGTCATCGAAATGTAATAATTCCCCCTTCGCGGCGTTCGAATCGGAAAGCTATTTACAAAGGAGTTTCACATCTGAGGGGGACGTCTTTCTTCTTAAGAAGGAGGAATGGACTGGGTATACGATCAAATGACTGCTTGCCTATTGCTTTTAGTATTGTGTTCGTTATTTCACCGAAGAAGACTTCGGACGCTAAATTCGGGCCTTTACGCGATTATTATGGAGGCAAATTACTTAAATGAAATTCATTTACTATTTACAATGATGCATGTTTCAATTAAAATTTTCCAATATTTTAGAGAACGAACCTCCAGAAACTACATTTAAAAAGTATTTTTTTCGCTGCAATCACGTAGAAATTACTTGTAATATTACATACCTATATAATTCGTACATAATGCTCACGACTTTAAAAAAAATTGGGATCAATTTATATTTATTTCGAATTTTTAAGACAACTATACTAGAAGCCAAGTGAATTTTTAACTGTAGTCACGAAGAAATTACTTATAATAATCAATATTTTTTTATATGAGAAAATGGCAAACGAGCTGGCGGTTCACTTGATGTTAAGAGATAACCGCTGCCAGTGGTCATTTGCAATGATATTTGAGTGGAAATTTGCATTTGCACATAGGGTTGCAGATGCGTTGCCACCTTTAAATAAAATGGGGCCCCGGCTACCTAACTCACCAGACGAAACGCAGAAGTGTAACACTTGTACTTTACGCCGGTCTTCTATGAAGTCGTGGTACTCACCCGGACGGACCCGCACATTCGTGCAACAGCGAAGACTGTTGCGTAACTCTACCACAGTCAAATACTTAATATGTAGTTCGTACAAAATAGACTCACTATCTTTTTTTTTAAGCTCGGATTTTTAATTTTGGCATCAATTTGTGTTTTTAGGGCTATTCATTCAATCAGTTTTATCCCACAGTGCCGATTAGTTTATCTGCAAAATTTCATATTTTAAGTTTTATTTTGGGTGCACAGACTAGGAATGGAAATAAAAAAAATACTCTAAGATTTTAGAGAGCATCCCTTGTTACAAATATTCATCGTTAAATGTTATTTGTAAGGTGTTCGTATTGCAAAGCATACGCACTATGGCGTCAAACATTGCTATGAATGTAATAAAGAAGTTAGATCTCGAGATGTCGATGAATTTTCGCGGCTTGAGGTCATCGACCGCTTAGCTTAGTTGGTAAAGAGTCTGTGCACGTTACCCGGAGGAAACAGTATAGAATCCAGCAGCGAAAGTTTTTGTTCATTTATCTAAAAAAAAAACCCATTTTGGGTTTTGTAGTTTGACGTTCGATATGATACTAATTGAGTCAGGTACTAAGAAGGGTGAGGTTCAATCAAAAAAACGCAAATAGTTACGAAATTAATACACCCTAATGCAAGCGTCTCCATCAATGCTTACGACAAGTTATAGCGTACGGTCAGTCGAGATCAGACTAACATTCGATTGACCGCCTGCGCCAATACAGATAATGGGTGTCATGAATTTGGGCTCGAAAGGCACCCCTCTGACAAAACGTAAAGCTGATACATTTATCGGAACAATCCTTTTGTGCACACCGAGTTGGAAGTATGTTTTTTCCTGTTTTGTGTTCGAAATGTACTCACTCATTCAACTTAATGATAGCAACGTCAAACAACGCCTCATTGTCTGTCGTCGCTCATAAACAAGGTTAATTAATTTGAAATATTTCTCAAACAATACTGTGTTTTAATAAAAAAATATTTTTGCTAAAAGAAAATCAAACATTTTCTTATAAACAAAATTCTTCTTTAATATTATTGTCTGTCTAATGTTATTTAAACATCATTTTCTAAAAGAAGGAAACGTTATATTAAAATGAGATTGTTTTGAAAATCACATCTTAATAAAAAATTTTAATCAAAATTTTTGCTTAACATTTACATATCATGTATTCAAAAAGAAAATAAAGCCTTGAAAACAAACTGTCAGAACAAATATATAATAATTTTGCAATATTAAAAAATATCGGATCATTTACAGAATAAATAAATGATGACTTTAAAACCGAATATTCAACGTCCGCCAAGAGCGGTTGCTGTTCGTCAGTTCGATTTAGCAACCTTATCACGTCTGGTAATTTATTTCATTGTACACCTTATTCCGTTCCAATAAGATTTACATAGAATAAAGTAACTATTGAAAGATTTTGCAGGCGTTAGGTTGGGGCGGCTATGTTTACTTACGCACCACCATCGATCGAGTAGAGCCTCCGCGTGAAAATTGCAACCCTTCGCGTAGCATTTCAGTCCTTGAAATAATACTTCTAGAATTGACATCGCTAGAATTGTTACTACGAAAACGACAATTCAACTATACACGATAATTCAACTATAGTACGAGAATGTATATTAATGTATCATTTATTTTATTTTTAAATGGGTCTTTATGAACGTCAATTTTGCTTAAAATTATTTATGTTGTTAGGTATATGTTTTGTTGCTTTTAAATACAAGTACAATTTATCATAATAATAAACCTTACTGCAATACAGCGTAATACAAGCTTATGTAGCAGCATCCATATTGATGCAGCGGTGCTTTGTTAGATTCGAATTGCGGGATGCACAGGGCTTCCAGTGAACCGTTTAAGTTTCCGAGGTTTGCAGCCAGGTGGAATATAACTCACGGTTACGCCTGTTTTCTCAGCGATTCGAACGGCCCCTATAGAATTATTCCGCTCGTCTTTCCTTAGACATTTTTTTGCTTTCTTTTTGTTTCGCTTCTTCGATTTATTTCTTCCGAATAATCTGTTTGTTTTAAAGAGAGCGTCTCTCGAATCGGAATGAAATCGTCACTAAATTTGTAGCTGTTCGAAGTAATTTTTCACATGTTCGTATTTTAAGTGCAATAATGATTGCATTATCTTTTAAGTAAGTAACCTGATTGCCTTATAATTTTTAAAGACAAAACTATAGTGAATTGAAGTGATTGAAAGTGTCAATAGTAATAATTAGGACGATGGATTAGTTCAAATTTGCTCAACGCAATGTCATGGCAAGAAAATACATGGAGCGAAGATTTTCAAAACCCCATCGCACCACGATACCGGCCAGCTTCAAAGTTCCCGAGCCGTATGAGTTCTACAATAAGGCGACGCCGTTCGTTCAGCGTACGCTACTTTTTGTCGCCGACGAGAGCTCCGGACCGAGGGCGAGCGGCAGCGGTGCAGTCGAAAATCCAATTGATATTCCGGACGCCAACGTAGACGAGGCGGGCGCGTCGAAATCGTGCGAGGAGCAGGAGAGATCGCCGAAGAGGAGCTCGTTTTTCTTCTCCCCATCGAAAAGTTGCAAGATACACGGGCGCAGCTTTTTCAGGCTCCAGACGAGCCCCAAGAAGTCGAAAACTGAGCCGGCGGGGGACGCGTCACCTAGGGCGACGGGGACGTCGGCCGCGGGGAGCGGGGGGCTGATCAGCTACGCTCCTGGGTGGTCCCTTAAGGGTGAACACCTCATGAAATGGCAGGCGTCGGGGAAAACAACAATCGAGGTGATGTAACCGCTTTTAACGCAGGCTGTATCATTTTAGTTTACGCAACTATCTCACTCTAAATACAATAAAATATAAGACGATAAATGTTACTTTAACTACCTAAAATATATTGTAATACCGTAAATTTTAGTTTCTAGAACATTTTAGGTACATTAAATTAAACAACATTATACCTATGTATAATGCTGTTATACGAAATTCCCCAGCAAGTTATCGCTGTCGAGGAAAAGTTTATCTTATGCTTTCTCCGACCGCACAAAAAGTTAACAACAGCTGTAAACTCGGAACTACGCCGAAAGGTGGAAATTGTGCATGCAAATCCAAGGAGGGTAACTGGGGTGAAAGGTGAATGTTTAAGAAAAAAGAAAATGAGAATTTCAATTTAAACGTGCCCTGAGGTGTCTACGAGAATTTATAAATGCGTATAAAAGGGATTCTTAGAACAAACTTTGGTTACTATTGATTTATGTTTGTTAGATACATACATAGAAACTTAAATTTTTAGTTATATAAAATTTGTAAATCATAATGTTGAGTCTTAGATTTGAGACTAGTTTTTGTTAAATTAAGTGGTTTACTCGGAGTATAACTTAAGGTTTTTTTAAAACGAAACTAATTTTTACTTTTTATTTGGTATTAAAATTTAAATACGCAAATTCGGACATAACTTTAGACACTTTCAGGCATTTCAAAAATTCATATGTTTAACAAAATAATATGAATCACAGTGAGAAATAATAAACCCAAAACAGAGTAGTTTAATCAGTAGGCCGACGTTACAATATTCGTTTTAACATTTTGGTCGCAATAACAATTTTCCGAACATTAGCCGGATCGTCACCCCCGCATCTTTTCCCGTACCTTTTGATACGGAAAAATGAGCCAAGATTGAGGATGTCGATATCCTTTTATATAAGCTTAATGGTGTATCTAATTTCCGTCGTTGTAACTGAATGTTGTGTGCGTTATATTTCTTTACTTCATACATTGGACACAGTGCATTTTAAGAAGACGCAGAGCTTTTGTACGTGCACTTAGTAAATAATTTGAAGTTATTGAGAGAACAAGTTGTGGGATTAATTGAGATCTGATATGGAATATTTTAGATTTATTTTTTAATCAGAGGGTCAAAATGTACACAAGAGGACATAAGTTGTATTAATTGGCTGATATTGTTTCTTTTAATTTTCTATGAGTCCCTATTCTTATTGAGCTGAAAATCTGTGTCGATTTTGTTCCAATTCTTCTCCTTTTGGGCTAAAAGGTTGACAATTAATACAAGTATTCTGTTAAGTATTCTGTTTAAATATTCTCTAAGTATTCTCATTTGGAAAGCGAATTGCGGAAAAATAAAAAAAACTGTTTTTGTTCAAGAACAATTCAAAAATAAACCTTGAAATAAATAATCAGAGAGATCTCAATCTCTACTGAACAACCCTCATTGCCCGGTAAAAGCTTCATTAGAGCCCTACGATACGACAACACCCCGAGTTGTTTTGAATATGTATGAGCAATTCTACCCGCATGCATGTGACGCCTGTCATGATCCAGTGATATCAAGCTCAGGTAGAAATCGAAACCAGAACATTTAAGCCAGTAGGCTAATAAGGCATTATACATACTAAAATAATAAACAATAAAAGAGAAATGAAATTTGTTATAGTATATATGTAATTTATTAGTATAGTTTTGCTATTAAAACATCTAGGACAGGGAATAGTACCCTTGAAAATTTCTTCACATGAAATGTCTTTTATTTATGTCACAGATATTTGGACGTCAAATCGGCATTTAACAATATCTTTCAATTACGTCCCCTTACGGTCATACTCGATCATCTAAAAATTTTGTACTCTATTCCAGTCGATGTTGCAAATCATACAATATATTTGATATTTCCCAACTATTGTTACTTCTCTTATTAGGGGAACGCATTGTAAAGAAACAATATTTATGTAGCATTATCACTCTTCCCCATAGCAATTTTGTTATTGTTTTCTTTTGCAGAATGTCCAATAGTGATGCACCCTTACTCCGTTACCTATATTTGTCTTTATTTTGAAGACCACTCAATCTTTGCACTCAATGCAACAAACGGATTGAATGAGATTTATTTCCAAATAATTTATTGTTTCCAATAAGCTCGTCAGTTTAAACATTTAATAAACTTGAACATTTATAAACTTAAACGTAGTTTATTAATAAAATGTTTTTGTTATAAAAACGTATGAGGCATATACTTTTGGATTTTCCAACCCTTTTACCTAGACTTGTCCTATTTTTGAAATAAAAAACCCATAGTCAACTTGACTGTTAAGGAAATCGATACACAAGACATCGATACTGTCAATTTAATCGAACACCTCTCAAAGGATACTCCGAAGGAGGGTTGAAATAATCACTAAAGGCAGGTTCCGTGGCGGTCCCTCTCGACCCGCTGAATATTTCAGAGGGACTTATTAGCCGCCTAATTATACAAAGGAAGTAGTTAGGGGGTCCAAGAATACGGAAGAGGCATTCACCCTAAAACAATCTGTTTCTGACAGAATTGGGGTGCTAAAGCAACGTAAGCACTTTTGATATTTTGTTCGATCGATCTCGGTACCGCGCGGAAAAGCAATTATACAATATCGTATGTACTTTATTGTGGTGAATTGACACGCTCGACTACCAGTCAAATTTTAATCGATACGGCTGTGTACACGACATTTCATCTGAAATAATTATTACCACTAATAATCAGTAATTTTGTGATATAGCCAAAGGAAATTACAGAGGGAAATTCAAGCAAAGATTTGACCTAAAAACTATCATGTTGGGTATACATTTACACATTTTTGAAACTTCTAGCATTTTTGAACTTAAAATCTGAAGTTAGAAAAGTGAGTAAATTTAAATAAATTATTATTTTGTCTTTGGTAAGAAACGCTTATGATTTTAAACACTTCGTCTATAAAGAAATTAAATCATAGATTTTTCAAATTCGCGGAAAACTAGTTTTTTTTTATTAATACTGTTCCTAGTATTTTGGGATTTTGGGACTCAGTGAGTTTAGTGAAATGTGTACAGTAGTGGCTATCTCTGTCTACTCCATTAGGGTCAGAAAGACAAAAATTCTCGAGGTGGAGTTCTTGGATTAAAGATCGTGAGCTTGCATTTTCGAATTCTAGTGGCGCAAACCTTATAAATCGCAGTCAATGGATGAAGGTGGCTCAAGATAGCGTCGTGGCAGTCGTTGGGGGCGGCATATGATCAGCAGTGGATTCGAGCAGTTTGAAATGATGATGCTGATGATGACACCTTAGAATTTTCCGTTTGCCCGAATTACGTAGCTATAAAGATCAAATTCCTAAATGGCCCAAGTGACAAGGCTATTATTACCTATCGCCTTCAGGCTATATCAAATCCGTACGTTTATCGGTTGTTTTTTTATAAAGTTTATAACTTGATTTGAAGATGTCAATTCGGTGCAGATGTAGAATGGTAAATACGAGTATACTGGCTTGTCTTATGTTCATTATTTTTAATTTTTTTTATTATTGCTAAAAGAACCGATATAAAATAGGTTCGGGAAGCAGCCAGCGTTATAGTTTATCTTCCAATATCAATATAACCTTGCATTGTTAAGGTAAGATTTGTATTCAAGTCTAGAAGTGTTTATACTATCGAGATTGCAATACTAACACGCTTTTATAACGTGATGAAGGTAAAGAAGACGCAAACCTTTAAAACGGCAATGTCCAACAAATTTTCTTATATAAAATCACAATCTTTCTTTAATTTGGAAAATATGTGTGGAATTATTGCAATTCCATGATGGGGCCACGTTTCACATCACGTTTGACAACTTTTAACATTAAATAAATGCGAGCTTAGCAATTATCCTGTAAAATAGTGAAATTAGATCATTTGATAATGAACATTTTTAACATTGTAGACTGAAATTTCGGGTATTCGATTAAATTTCTAAACATGAGCATTTTTTGTAATAGAATGAGTAATGTTGATATATATTCAAGTAATCTTTTTTGACACAAGTACATTTTTATGAACGTAAAACATAACTTTACATGGTGTGTTTAATTTTGAGTTTCCTGATGTATCTCCGTAGTTAATACCAATGACATTTTTATGGGACCACATGGAACTAAACTAAATGGAATCAAATGCAAAAATAATATACGACATAAAATAAACGGACATAAATTACGGAGTTCTGAAATAATGAACATAAAAAATATAAAATGAAATTGAAAATCTCCTCCTTTTTGAATTCAGTTGAAAATATTTGCAGAGAATTCTGCTAGATATAACTCCATGTAAATTCTTTTCTCGATACAAGGTTTACGACCTCTGAATACAAGCGTCAAGTCCCATTGTTTTGATTTCACTCGTCGCCGAGTGCTCCTTTGAATCTTAACACGTACATCCATTGACAATTTCCCATGATCTACCATGACTGCCAATACATTTTTCGTTTGAATTAGATTAAGGAATGCTGGATTATAAGGCTTTGAAGTCTAAGAATGTGAGAATACACAACTTTAATATAATTTTATTTTGAATAGAAATTGTTTGGAAATTTTTTCTTTCCTTTGCCTGTAAATGATAGGATTTAATAAGGTGTTTTAATCCCTATACGAGTAAATAGTACAATTATCACTTGCAGATACAGTAGCCGACTGTTAGTACCAATACAGCAGACTCACAAAAAGGCTTTTTCACTACATAGTATAAAACAAAGTCGTCCCGCTGTGTGTCTGTCTCTATGTATGCTTAGATCTTTAAAACTGCGCAACGGATCTTGATGCGTTTTTTTTACTAGATATAGTGATTCAAGAGGAAGGTTTATATGTATAACTAGCCCGGCCAACGTTGTTTTGCCATATAAATTATTTGTAGGGTAGAAAAAAATGTTTGGGGTGGACCACCCTTAACACAAAGGGGGATGTTGTCTGATTCTCCACCCTGGCCGATATGCACACAAAATTTCACGAAAATCG